AATGTGAGACTTTATCAAAATAAATTTTACTCATAATGGAATAGCTATTCTGTGAAATGACGTTTGTCGTCCAACACACTGATGTAAAAAGCTTACTGACTGACTGAGGCTTCAGCATAGAACTTTGCACAGAAATGCAACGATTCAACCTGCCACACTTAACATATGTATATAGTACACAAGAGTGGAGAAAAAGGCAGAAATGTACGCGAGAAGTAACAATAACATGGAAAAATTAGGGTTAAATGTATATGGGAGATTATACCCACGGCTTTGAACGCCATCTTTACAACTAGTCTCCATCGATTGATTCTTAAAATCTCAAGAACCGCGATCAGACAGCGCAGTCTACACCTCCCTACCTATATGTGGTTGGTTGGCTTAAACTAACTATCAAAGATTCCATGGACTCTGATTCCAAGAAGTTTTGATACGACCACCCCGTTAGAGATCTTTTCCAACGTGATCATATGTGTCAGTTAACATTGCAGGTCGATGCAGGCGATAGCTAGACGGGTATGCACAACGCATGCCTTAGCTATCTCAGTCAATGTAGCTTCACAACCTATTTATCCTATTGACTTGCCTTCCTTACTGAGCACTCTAAGCCCAACGTCAACATTACTCGCCATATTATACCAGTGAACATGGGACATAGATAGATAGATAGACAGACAGACACCTACGATCAAAGACAGCTAGCTAGCTAGCCAGGCAGCTTTTTCATGTCTTCCACTTTCAATGACCCATATCGTACAGTCATAAAGATAATCATTATATTTCTTGACCTAAATGCAGCATTCGATTCTGTCGACCGATAGGTTCTCTGGCGATGCTTGGCTGTAAAGGGAATGCCGAGAAAATACATTGCACTGATTAAGGCACTCTACTCGTACTCATGTAGCCAGGTGAGGGCTTACGGCAAGTTGTCATCTGAAGTGATGACGACTAGTGGCGTCCGTCAAGGATGCCCATTATCCCCATTTCTATTCAATTTCATCATAGATGTACTAATGGACTTAACCCTAACACACTTCAGTGACTCAGGGATTGACTTGCTAACAGGAATGGAATAATCTCGTTGACTTGGAATACGCAGACGATAGAGTCCTCCCTGCTAGGTGGAAACGCTGAAATAATAGAGCAGAGTCTTCTGAACACCTTGAGGAGCTGCGATCTGCGAATGTTTGGCATGCGATTCACTCCTGCTGTCAAATGTAAGATGATGTTACAGGACTGACTGAACTACATTGACTTCTAGTTTAGAAATAGGGAGTGAAGTGGTTGATGGAGTGTGTTGACCGCTTCACTGATTTGGTAAGTTGCATCAGCCAGTGCCAACGGGTTGATCACTGACTAAATCTCAGCTGAGTACGGGCACAGAGTGCTAGTTTCGCATATGCCAGTTGACACCGTCTCTGGCGTAGACGTGATATCCGGCTGGACGGCTATCGACTTCTCAGCAGTCCACTCCGTCCTTCTTTATGGCTAGCTGGCTGGCTGTGATACTGGCCATTGAGAGTGGAAGACATGAAAAGATTAGCTGTCTTCGATCATAGGTGTCTGCGTTGTATCTCCCGTGTTGATTGGTGGTGTATCATAAGGTGAGGAACATTGAGGTTAGGCGTCGGTTGAGTTCTAGGTAAGGCGGGGAAATCAATCGACGACGCTGTGAATTTGCATCGATTGAGATGGTTAGGACATGTGTTACGCATGCCTGCCTAGCCATCATCTTCCTCTACCGACGGACAATGTTAGGTGACATAGGATGGATCAGGCTGGAAAAGGGCTAGCTGTGGTCAAAGGAAAACATGACACCAGTCAATGAAATCTACACCAGTTAGATTAAGTTAGCCACGTAGGAAAGTGTAGACTTTCTGGTTGGGGTCATCGGGACGGTAAAAACCGATGTAGGCGGGAGACAACTGGTGATATGGCTCAACATCGTTCTCACTGCCTGGCGCATATGCATCCACTCCTTGTGACTCATGATTTCCAATGAAACTGTTTTGTTCTTCGTTATTACTATTCCTTTGTCTCACCACACCTCTGTCTACTGTCTCTCTATTATGCATTTCTTCTACTTTCTTCTCTTGCTTTGTGTGCTACATGGAGTGGAGGGAGTGTGGTGACTTGAACTGGTGCACATATATGCAAAATTCTATGTCGAAAATGGATAGACAGGATAGAGGGAAGTTCTGCACGTGTGAGAGTGTTGTACACACAACATCATTTCATCGATAACCGACCGAATATTCCGACTACGCCAGAGATGATGTTGGTCGGTTGTTGGACAAATGTTAAGCGAGAAAAAACGATCAGTAGTGTAGCAGAACCTTTCACTAATAATAATAATCATAATATATGCGTCATCTCAAATATCAGCAATCACTATCTCTGAATGTACGTTATGCGTTCACCGATATATCGATCCGAGTAACATGTAGAGTTAGCATCTGGGTTACATGGTATTAGTTTTTCATCAAGTTCTATTTTTTTTCTTGAGAAATCTGCATTCTTCTCCTAGATCCCCACTGACTGACTGACTGACTGTCAAGAGAAGTATTATCCGTATAGGAAGGAAGTAGTAGCACAGATCTGATAGTATATATTCAAAAAGTTATGGAGAAAAAAAGACAAAAACTTTGATCTAACGAATAATCAGGTTCAGTGTAGTGAGATCGCCAACGTTGGCATAATGTGTGGTAGAATGCTCGGCGACTGACTACGCCACATGTGGTTCGGGGTTCAATTCCCGGCCACCGACTCACTCGTATATAACTCGCTAAGCTCTAGTAATAAGACTGGTAAAGAGGGAAGGTTGGGCTGGGCATGCGACTAGCAACCTCATCATCCCGTAAAAGTCATAAACACCACTGCTACCGAAACTTCAAGGGTCCAGCTTGAAGGCTCCCTATGTTCCACTGGGAATGGAAAGGAATAAAATAATAATAATAGTGTAGTCAGAGATCACACTTGTGTTATATTCCTTTCGAATAGCTTCATGTCGGACATCACTCAGTGGTCTAAACTAAATGTCCTCATGCTGAATCCCTCCCTCAAAATGCCAGACTATTGACTCTTTTAGGCATAAACGAGATCTACGAACACTAGTAAGTAAGTACTCATGAAGTCTGTTGCATTGAGGCGACTAAAATTGAAACTAAGTATAAGATCAATTCAATTCCCATCCTTGAATCAAGTCAACCTGTCCCGGATCAGCCTAGCGTTGTTGCAACCCAATTATCCATGCCTAATGTGTCTTTCCCCCCTTGTTTAATGAACTGTGTGTGTGTGTTTACATCGATCCGTCTAGTCAGACAGTTGAACTTATGACCCAATCAGAGTATTTTTGTGAACTGTTATTTTGCTGACCCATGTCTTACTTTGTACTATTTTGTCGAGTTAATCTTATTTGTTTATTGATCTTCATCTGTATCAGCCTACCTGGTTAAGTAGCCAATTAAATTCTATCTTTGTGCCTATGCTCTGTGTATCTCTTACTTGGGTTCATTCTTCTACTGACTGCTTACCTGAACGGTCGTGTCTGATTCCGGCTAGTTCGCAATTTTGGCTTTAACGTTATTCCGCTCTGATAGGGATGCCTTGCTTTCTGTTAAGCGTTGTGCTTTGTACTCTTGAAACCGTTAAGGTTTGTTGTATATATATAATTATTGCTTTGTTTATTAATAGTACCGTAGAAACAGTGACCGGCTTCTTGTTTGTTCTGGACCGGGATAGCCTTTATCTACGCGTGACTTAATTTCAAGCGATATTACGCTTACACTAAGTCTAATGCTAAATACCTCGGTCTAGTTCTATCTTCCGACCTTACTTGGACGTCTCTCATATCCTAACGATTTCTAAGAAAGTGTTCTGTCTAACCTACTACATTAAGAAACGTAGTCAATCTGGAATCACCCAACCTCTACTTTCACAATTTGTCAACTTTTGTATCTTACCTATTCTACTTTACTTCTCCCCGTTAGTCTTTCCTGGGCTACTGAAAAAGGACTATACCATCCTGAGAAGGATGTTGATGGTAGTTAGTAGGACTAGTGGTGTAAAACTCAGTCAGCTCGTCACTACATTTGTTGATAGGCATCTGAACTCGTGCGAAATTATTATTATTATTATTTCCTTTAGTTCCTAGAGGAACATAGGGCTTCAGTCATGCGTCTCCATTGCGAAAAATGGTCTAAAACCATACTCTCCGACCCCCAACACCCCCTCTATTCCCAACTCTCGCCTTGTATCTCACCATGTAGAACGAGAAATCAGTATAAAATAATATACGCTTGTACAACCAAGTACAGGAACTCAACGATACCATACTTGGCCCGTGTTCTAAGCGACAGAGACAATGTTAAGCGTGAAACCTATGACATGCTTTGTTGTTAATAACATAATTTTAGGCTCTTTTATTTCTCTCTTATTTTGTATTCTATAGTAAACTCCATCTTAAACATACTTAGCTACCTAAATTGTTAACATTGGTTTACTTTTTGTACTTTACTGTATTCCTTCTTTTGTGTATCCGACAAAATTGTCCTGTCATTAACCATCATGTAGCTATTAGTTTTTGTGGTTGTTGTTGTTTTTTTTCGGCAATATTAACTGACAATCATTGGCTATGAACGCCATTATCACCACCTTAAAAGATTTTGTATTATGCAGGATTACTCACACTACCACCAAAAACATCCCATTAGAGCAGACAATAAGAGAACCCTGAAATGTTATTTTATGATTGTTTAGTGTTGTTTTAACCTAAATTAACTGATCATCTTGGCGATAAACATAGTCTTAAATGATCATTTCATAACTTCTTGTATGACTATAGCCTTTACTGACTGTCACCATGCATAATCATATCATAGCTGCTGCTACCTACTACCCAATACTGAGAACAATATTTTATGTTACTTACTTATATTCTTTTCGAACATTTACCATTAATTATCACTCTCTATATATAACTTTTTTTTGTGTGTTTGAAGGGTTCAGTTGTAGCGGATGGACTAGGTGTAACCTGTTGGTGGGTCAACTGATCTCTGCATCTCTCTCTCTATATCGATTTCTGGTTCTTTTCTCGATCATGCCCACCCCCCGCTTTTCTTTTTTATCAGAGAAAAAAAGAACCAACAAAACCAACAAACAAATAGCATCAAAAAAAACACAGCTCATTATTTATTATTTTTGTAATATTGTTGTGACCAGACAAGAAAATAGAATAAAGAAGTATTGAATTGTGTGTGTTACCCTTTATTGTTATTATTATTATTATTATCAGTAGTATGGTTCGTTATGTCCTTTACATTGTGTTTGTGTAGTAGATATTATTATTATCATTATCACAGAGAAAATTTTAAAAAACCAAAAAAACCAAAAACCACAAAACAAAACAAAACAACATTTAAACAGAATAAGAAGAACTCAAATAGTGTTGAACGCTTTTATTATTATGTGAAAATTATTGGAAGCAAGATAGACAGATCGATAGATCGATAGATAGAAATAAGGAATTTGTTTTCAATGAGAAGTGATTGTGTTGAGTAGCACTCACTTTTCTGTCTCTCTCTTGGTGTATATATCAAGGATAAGATAGACAGATAGATCGATAGATTTGATCTCATGCGCCTGTCTTTTATTTTTCAGAAGCCGTGTCTTTTTCTCCTCAAAAGTTAAGTTAGATCTGTGGATAGGCGCGGAAGGGGAGAAGAAGACTCAGAAGAAGAAGGAGAGGAAGAAGAAAGTTGTCTGGTTGTCTGACTGCTTGGTTGGTTGGTGGTTAGTGGTGATAAAGAACTGTTATTATATGTGCATATGTATATATACATGTACAAAATTTTTGTGCATATTAGCATAATAATCTACAACCGGGCAAGTGTTTGTTTAGATATGCTCTCACCGGATGCGTAGCTGCTGGTAAATGCGCCAATTCAAGATAATTTAAGCGTGGATGTCGAGCTAATGTGCACAGGCCGTCTTCACTTATTCGTTTACAACCTGTATGTATTTGAGAAATAAGAAGAAATTAGGTGAATGGATGCAGGTGAGGCGTGAATGTGATACACTGTGAATGTAGTCGTCCAGAATGAGGATAAATTGTCTATATGCGAATTTATGAGAATATATATGTATGCATAAAGTTGAAGACACATGAAAAGGTTGACTGTTTTTGATCATAGATGTCTACGATCTCTTTCTCACGTTAGGTGGCATAATAAGGTAAGTAATGTCGACGTTAGGTTAGGCGTAGAGTGTTGGGCAAAGAGGGAAAACCAATCGACGAGGTGCCATGCCAAACAAAAACATGGCCTCATCAATCCATGAAATCCTTGACAGTTCAACTGAGTCAGGTAGGGAGGGAGATGCAGACTTCCTGTTGGTTGGGGCCCGCCCTCAGGACTCTAAGAATCAATGGCTGGAGACAGACAATATGTGACATGGCTCAAAATCGTTGTCAATGGCTTACGCAGATGTATTCAGTCTCTTGTGTAATCTTTCATATTCCTTTCTACCATTACTCATTCGTTCTGTTTCACTCTTATACTTGTCAAAACTCTATTGATTCTCTCCACTCATCATCTTGTCTACCTTTGTGTGGTATTTGTAACGTGGGAACTCGAACTGCTGCACTTCCGTGCCAAGTTCTCTGTTGAATTCAGACAAACACGTATGCATAAAACCGAATATCTATGCAATACTTACATTTTGTTAACTCTTGCATTCTGCCTTGGATTATTATTATTATTATTATTATTATTATTATTATATCTTTCCTCGGCTTTCCAACATCATGTTAGTTTCTAGAATGATACTGCATCTAACGTTCTAAGTAAAGAAGTTAAAACAATCTCTGGTATCACTCTCCTCTACAAATACAGTTTATTAATTCTTGTATTCTGTCCACCTATTCTTGATATAAGTATAAAACTTGGGCACTGTGATGGTAGAGTAAAACTCCATTATGGATAAGATTTTATTTTGATAAACTGTCACACAGTGTGTGTAGTGTTGTACAGTAATATTAACTGATGCGACCACATTTCGAGGACAATTTATCATTGCCACTCATAATCATCATATCAAGTCACTCACCCACACAACTTTTTCCCTTCATTTATATACATGTGTGGAATTGATGATTAGATATCTGAATAAAAATCAGTAATATAGCTAATGTGCATTCAGAAATAATAATAATATGAGTGTTATTGATCAATTACAATAATCAAATGGGAAATAAGACGAGTGTTTCTGTTATAGTCATAATAAGTAACTTGTTAGACTGTTATCATAATGTACGTGAATTGAATTGAAATAGAATACAATTTAAGATTATTTATTATCCTCCTCTGATTTCACTGACTGACTGACTGGTGGTAATAATATCTTCCATGCATATTTCTGGCATTTGCATTGAGTCATTTCTGTTGCATGTGTTGTGTGTAGGTAGACTCGGTGAACGACGCGGGATTCAGTAATTAACCTCTCTCTCCCCACATACCCATATTACTTCTTAGAATAGTTGACCCCGAGAAGATAAGTAATTTAGAAAAAAGCTCAGCACTACATTGCACTGTATGGATTAACACACAATAGCATGGTGAGAGAGGGTTAAAATTCTAAAAAGTAATCTATGTAGGTGGAGATAGACAGAGATTGATTACTGATTTCCTGGCTGGTTCATCGAGTCTACCTACACACAACACATGCAACAGAAATGACTCAATGCAAATACCAGAAATATGCATGGAAGATATTATTACCACCAGTCAGCCAGTGAAATCAGAGGAGGATAATAAATAATCTTAAATTGTATTCTACTTCAATTCAATTCACATACATCATCATAACATTCTAACACGTTACTTATGATGCCTATAAAAGAAACACTCGTCTTATTTCCCATCTTATCATTGTACTTGATCAATAACACTCATGTTATTATTATTATATCTGAAAGTACATTATCCCATATTACTGATTTGTATTCAAATGTGTCTAATCATCAGTTCCACTCATGTATATAAATGAAGTAAAAAGGTTGTATGAGTAACTTGATATGATTATGAGTGGCAATAGTTTGTGCTCGAAAGGTGGTCATCAGTTAATATTACTGTATAACACTACACTGTGTGACAGTTTATCAAAATGAAATCTTATCTATAATGGAGCTACGTATTCTTCTTTATTACTCTCCTTTAGTCTTTCTTCGACTTGTGCTTAGGAAAGCCTTTGTTACAACACTGGTGGAGGCACTGTAAACTGTCAATAGGGCGAGTGGATTACCGCTAAGCCAACAAGAACTCGTTAAACACTGTTGCGGAAAGACACTTAATTCCATGCAGCAAAATTGACAAATATTATCTTGTCGGACTTTGAACATCCTCTTTATTCTCAATTTTCCTCTTGCATGTCACCAGGTACTACTGGAAGAAATAACTATGAAAGACTGTATGCTTGGACGACTAAGTATAAAAGCGCTTAATTGGATTATCTGGCACACATTTTATGTAATGAGAAGAGTGTTAGGGTGACGGGGGGGGGGGGAAACTACTAATTCACTGAGAAACACTAAGTCAATGGCCTTTTTTATTCTCTTTTTCATCTATCCAGTCAAGTGTGTGAGAATGGATGTCCCACCGATGACATTGGTTGGTGTTCGCGCTAAATATCACGAATTGGTAGAAATTAGAATTCACACACTGGCCATTGAATCGAGTCCAAGCGGCTGAATGGTATACGAGCCAGCTTGTCTAGTAACTGAAAGGTCCTTGGTTCGGACCCGCTGTAGTGAGTGCGTACTGCCGAGGATTTCCAAACTAGGATGAAACAGCTATGAACTTCAAAATACAAATTTTCAAGTAGTGTACTTGTCAAATATCCTGAGTTTGCCTCAACAGTAAAAGCTGTGAATATGGGGGAGTTGAGGAACTACATTATTATTATTATTATTATCCCTCGCTTAGGTTCCAAGCGGTACACGAAACTTCAGCAGAATATCTCCATTCCATCCTGCTCTCTCCAGTCTTTAGCTGTCTCCATGAAAACCGATAAACTGCCGACTCCTGTCAACCTCAGACCTGTCCGTATCTAACTCGTCGTTTTCCATTCAGGTGTCCACTGAAGAGAGCTCAACAGTCCCTTCAAAGTGTATCCCATGCTCCCCTTATTTTTTTCAGCATATTTGTTGTTTGCTTCACTGAAGTGCACAGTTCCGTGTTTCCTAATCCTTTCTGGCCTGCTGTCTGATTTTCAGTATGGAGCAAAGGGGTCAGCTGCTGATAAGCGTCTGCAGTCGGCTGTTCGAAATGCATGTGAACTATATAGAAGCGTTACTGAATTGTTATGTGTATTGGAATAAGGTGGAAGCTAATAAACCTAAAGAGTTTCTGTGATATAAGAATAGAATTTAGGCATTGTAGTAGAGCATAATTCCATCCCCTCTTGTGTGTTGCTTTTCCAATGGTTCTCTAACTGATATCAATCCGTGCGTGTTCAAACTCAAATTATTTTATAAAACACAAAATAATCGAGCAAAGAATATTCGTTTCGATAAATTCCTCTTCCGGCTCTACAATTATATATATGTGTGTTTATATACATAGAATATTCTAGATTAGTAATCAATAACAATATTAGTGTGCTTTTGAAATAATATCGATTTGTAAATTAAGATCACAATGGAATCACCACAGTTCATTAAAGATGCTTAAATTACAATAATAATAAAGATATAGTAGCAAACAGAATATCAACTAAAATTAGGAAAATTCCACAAAAATTCAGGATCATTCAAACCTGGATGACCAAGTGGGTAATGATAATGACTGAACTAACTTCTTTTGGGTGCATAAATTAGGCTTATTAATATGGATCCCAACAAACAGCCTCAGCAATATTTAGAAGTCAAACTCTTAAAGCAAAATTGAGATTCGTAGGTGTGCGGTAAAGGACCCTGAAAGCATGGTTAACATCAGTCAGTCTTGTGTTCTGTATCCACAAGATGAGTGAGGTAGAATAGCGCTGGGAATAGATTTTG